ACTATATATTGTTTCCCAAAGTTCTTCAAAGCCTAATAAAAATCCATCTAATCAAGAGACTCAGTTCAAGTCTGTTGCCTACATGTTACATTATATGTTTAAAAGATGGTTGCTGTGGAGATGAACACAAAAGAACACAGACAGACCCTTCTGTCCAGAGCCCAAGCAAGTCAGTTCAAATAAGGAACTTCTGTCTTGACCTAAGGTGGGATTAATTAAAACCTTGGATGTCAGTATGACACAAAGAGCAAAACATATTGTCTGATTAGGAAGGAAACTGTCAAGTGACAGACTTGTCTGAAGAAAGTTCCCTTGCCAAAAGAAAAGCCCTCAATATGGGTCTGAATACTTTCAATTTTTTGTCTCCTCTTGGGATCTTTATGGCCACTTATGGACAAATGTTTCTTAAAATCTCATATTTAGGAAAAATCCAAAGCAAACTTTCTGAGTGTTTTCCTGTAACTGATTTTGTGAACTGGCTACCTGCATAGCACATAGGCTGGGGCAACTGAGGCTCCACAGTGTGGGAGCAGAAAGTGTTCAGGACTGGGAAAGGGGACACCTGACTTTTTATTAAGCAAAGCTATTGGGAAATGGATCTAAGAGGTACTGTTGGGAAACATGGATTGATATTTGCTGGGTTATTGCAGAAGAAAAGAAGGGATAAGAGTCAGTGCTACAAGATGGGGAGGTATTCTAGCCCATGCTGTAGTTGTGTGGCTGCTACAGGATGCTCTGTGTTTGCCTGTGTAGTGCCACATGCCCTTGCTGCTTGGCCTGGCCATCTCTGGGACAAGCAGGTTGCTTGCTGTGGTCACCCTGGGCCTGTGCCTTCCCATACTGGTGGGTTCTTTGATGCAGCCCCTTAGTGCTCCCCATGCCATCTCTTCTATCATCACTTTATTAAAAGGTTTTAAACAAAAGATAAAAGCCCTTTTCTATTCATTCTTCTGTTTGCTTCCACTAGGCTGCTCTCTAGGAGGGTTAAGGGTCCATATTTTTTAGCTCCTGCTAGTACCATGTTTGAGATGATGGAACCAGGCTAAAACGTGATGATGGTTACTGGAGGAATAATCTTTTACTGTCTGGTAAATTGTATTTTCTTCTGCATCTGAACTGGGAAAGTTTTCTCTTTGGGCACGAAGAATTATAGAAAGCCATACTTGTAGGCACAACACAAATAAATGGTGCTATAACAATTTGTAAACAAAAGATCTGCAGTGGGGCTAATTCCATTATTGCTACATAGTGATGTTTATATCAGCCCATGCCATGGGTCTAGGGACCTCTATCCATGTTGGAGTGTCGCACTGACCTTGATCCTATGTAACCTATAGTTAATAGTTTACTTGTGCTGTAGAGCACTTAAAGAACTGTATAAAATGTATGTCCATTTCCTATCTTTCTATCATATTAAAATATAAATGTGAATTGACTGTATCCAAATAATATTCTGTCTGCTGCATGTTATTAATTTCCAAATATGTTTTTCTCCTGGGAGTCTTCTGTGAATAAGTGGAAAGAACAGACAGTAGCATAAACTAGTCCTTCTCTTACTCCCTTTGAGCTGTTTCTTTCCATCTTTTCTCACATGACTGCAGTAAGCTCAAGCTAAGTATCCCCATAAACTGGTGGTGGAATAGAGTAGGAGAACAGCATGGTAACTATATTAGGGGACTTTAAATCACATTTTCTATCAAGAAGTCTCTAACAGGAGCTGCACTGTATTAAGATTGTTAGGGTTACTATAAAAATTATTTAATAATATGATACCTGAACAACTGAATGCCATTAAGGTCTTTATAACATGGCAGCAAAAGTGTCCTGTGCAGTGGCATGTTAATAAGGAGTGGTGTCTGAAGTGGTCTCCCATTATGCACCAGTTCAAAGGGGGCAGGGCTTGTTCAAAAAATGATGGTTGCTATAAGAAGAGCTTGAGCAGGGATGCCTGCAGATAGCACACGGAGGGCTGAGGTGAAATGATTAAAGGAGAATGCTTGAATTTTATTTCACCACAAACTTTTTCTCACCATGCATGCTAATTATACTTAAGAGCAAAGTTTTCTTTAGTGGTATCTCTCTATTGCACTCAGACAACGAAAAAGATATGCTGGCAAGGTCTTCTTTCTTGTTATGTATGTTGAGCAGAATGTTCCAAAGTGCAGAATGCTGTCTGTGCTCATGCCACACAGTCTCTCCATCATTTCTGTCCCCTTTCAGAGAAAGAATTGGAATATTTGTCCATCTTTGTTTGCAGAAAAGACTCAAGGTGAGGGAAAGAACAAATCCTGTAAGGCAATTCCGTCACTCACCTCATCTTCATAATCTTTCCTTGGCTTCCTCTGCCTTCTAACCCTGCTATTGATCGTGTCATAGGCTACAGTATTCCAAAGCAGGGGGCTGAAAACCTTTCCGAACAGCAGTTGCCAGTCTGCCTGTTGCAGCTTGAAGAAGAAAAGCATGCTGTGAAAACAATCAGTGCATTTGCTTTAGATCTAAGTGATTCCAACTAGGTCGATGCTTCATGCTGATATGTTGAAAACATTTAAAAAATTTCTCAGAGTTTGATTTCAACTGGAACATTTCAGCATGTGTCTGACTCTCTGAAGTTGTTATTTTTCACTAATGTAGCAGACAACAGGTTTTCTTCTACCCTAGCACAAAGCAGTAGGGAAACTGGGCCTTTATTTGAATGACTTTATAGGAGGGGGAGGTTTGTTGGGTTTTTTTATAAGCTGAGGCTCTTGCAAATTGACTTCAGAGGAGTACCACTTTATTTAAGGAAAGGAAGAATAGGTAATCAGTTTTATAGAGTGCAAATGAGAGTATAGATTTATTTAAGCCTCTTTTTCCCCCCCATACTTGAATTTTCCTTCAGAGGCAGGATAGTTCATAAATACATATACATATAGAATATAGAAAATTTTATTTTCTTTATATACATGATGGTTCTTTGTAATGAGTTTGTCTTCAATATAATTGGCCTGATTCTCTCTCATTTGAGATCACAGCAAATGAAACATTGCAAAAGGAAACTAGTCTCATCCAAGTTAGCATTCATTCAGTTTCCAGGAGTCGCGTGAATCCAGACAGCATTTTTCTATGGCAGCTAATGGCACAATTGGTTTCCACACTTATTGGAAAAGAACACACAAAACCAGAATTTGCTATAGACTGTCTTACTGTTTGGTTTGGTTTGCACATGCTCTGAGCCACTGGAGTCTATAGGAAGCTAAACTGAGCAAAAACCCCAGGGCTATGGTTCTAGTTTGGAGCTGGCTGTTCAGTGGTTTTGCATGGGAGCCCATCAGTAGGACCTCACCTCTGATTCTGCTCCACTGCACTTTCAAGCATACTCCTCTTGTTTTATGTGCCCTTTTCAATAACAAGTACTTATCAGTGCCTGTTGATCTCTTTGGGATACCTTTTTACATCATATAAATATGTATTAAATATATCTTGGAATTTCTTTTCCCTGAAGGAAGTGAAGCCACTTCTGTGCTGTTGCCATCTTTGCTGCTTGCTTCAAATAACACAAAGAACATTTTTGTGCTGCTTCAACAGGAAATAGTGAGCAAGTACCTGCCTTGAGGTATTACAATGAGTTTCAGAATACCAGCAGATAGAGATAAAGAGTTTAAAAAATTGAAAAAATTGTTGGACGAAAATAATAATAATAATAATAATAATAATAATAATAATAATAATAATAATAGTATTAAAAGCTGTATTTATCTCTGGAGAGGAATTTCAATCCCCCCTGAAGTGAGCCTTTGTAAATGCAGTGTATATATGGCACTAATGAATTTTACACTTCAGCATTTATTTCACCAAATATCGTGCAGGGAAAAATAGTCATCATTTAAGCAGCTATAGCTTGCAACTGTATAAGTCCTAGACATTACAACTAGATAAGCCAGTGTAGAGGTGTGTGTGAGAAATCCTATAGTCTTAGTGGCATTCTTTCATTCATTTATTTTTAAAATTATCCATGAAGTGTTGCAGAAGTGCAAGTTATGATTTAAATGTACCGCTAGGAATCCTGTTTATAAAAGGTATATACACTTAATTTATTTATGCAAGATGATGTTTTAATTAGATAATTGATTTTGTTTTCTCCAGAGGAATGGGTAGAATCTAGAGAAGGACAAACTTCAATTTAGTTTAAGGAGCTTATACCTGACAGAAATGTCACTAGATCAGACCCTTCTGCTGTGATCTACCATGGCTGCTGAGCAATGATGATTTCTTTCCAATAATACTCTCCCTTTGGAACTTGTTGCATTGGACCCTGTATGTGAAAGCAGGGAGGAAAGTTGTTTGAATTATGAGTCCTCAGTGGTCCAAATGAGTTGCCTTCTATTGGCATGGATTTATATTTTTAAGTTGCAGTGGTTCCTGTAACATTTGAACTGCTTAGGAATTCATTACAGTGTCAGTTTGTAACTATAGGGTCTGTCCAAGCAGAGGCTATTATGCTGAAATGCTCAATTCCTCCACGGAATTCAGAGAATGTGAATTAACTTGTGCTTGGGTGCACTCCTTGGTGGATTAGTGAGGAAGTAGTTAAGGGTGATTTAAAAGTTATTTTATATATTCTACTCTTTGTCTGCCTCTTACAAATACTTCTTCAGACCACTTTCAGTGCAACCTTTTCACCCTCCCTCAACTATAAACAAAAATATAATTCAGAATCTCAAACCCAAAAGGAATTCAACCCAAAATCATGGTGCTTCCCATATGCATTCTAACCTTCACCCTGCTTTTCTTGATGTAGCTTTTTAAGTCATGAGTTTTACACAATATTAGCCATAATTGGAATTGACAACAGAAAACTACAGAAGGCAATTCACTTAATCTAAGTTTGTTGTGAAACTGAAAACAGAGTTCTGTCTGAATTCTCTGTAGATTTCCTGGCAGGAAGCATTCTGTCATTTTCAGGTGAAATTTGTTCACAAGGACCTTAAAGAAAAGGTCTTGCTTTTATCTGACTCTTACAGAAGTCAATGAAAGAGACTCCACGGATTATAACGACCATTGGGAACCTGTCCTATCCAGAGCTACATTGTAGACTTCGGTTTCTGGACAATTGCTTTTCCTCAGTCCAAGAAGAGATTGATGTTACTACACAGGGAAGACAGACAGTGGTGAGTAAGAGGGAGCTCATCCCAAAGAGCAACTGAACAAAGAGGGAGTGGAACATGAGAATTGCTATGCTTTGTTACTGCTCATGTGCTGAACTGATAGGTTCAAGTAAGTCACCAGTATACTCCATTAGAAGAAAGAGGCAAACAGAGAACAGACCTGTTAGATACAGTTAGCTGTAGGGCTCATCTTTGTGTAATACTTCTAACTTTGTCTTCAAATGCTGTTTGTGCTCAGATGCTTTTACTGCTATAAAAATAGTACATCATTTTTTCCAGGGGAGACAAAAAACTTGCATATCACTTTCCAGCAACTACCTGTACCTCTATCCTCTTTTTGTTCTTCAAATAGTCTACTTTGTGTGATGATAATACAGTTTAAATTGCTTCAAATCTTTTATGTACCAAGGTCAAAATACTAATGACATGTATCCCACAAAGCTTAAATTATTTTAACAGGGTTGTCTAGCTAGATTGTTAGCCAAACCATATACCTATGTCAGTTTCTTCTTTACAGAAATTCCACAGTGCAGCCCTAAGTGATAATTGAACCAGATGGATACTAAATGAGAAGAGGAACTTATATTTTAGATTTGGCTCCATTAGCTTTCAGATTTAAATTGCAACTATCATGAGAGCTAATACCCCAGTCAAGGACATTGCCCCCAAAATGGTAACTACCAGTCCTTCAAAACCCTAGGCTAACAAGTGCATGGAGCTTCTGTGATCTCTAAATAAAAAATGGCAAGTGTGACAGGGACCTGTGGTTAAGAGACTGTTCCAGTTGTGGATGTGGGGGTAGTAGAGAAATGGAAAGGAAGGCATTAGTAGAGTTTTATACTTGCCACACATGCAGACGCCAATTGATAAGCTCTGACTTGGGTGTCTGACAGCAAAATACTCTCTTGGGAAAGAATCCACTCTTCCCATGGACTTAAGATATATACTGAGATCTTTAACTCCAGTGACTCCAGGCTATCAAGCAAACTAGTTAGCACATGGTCAAAAAGTTTGTATACCCCAATACACTAGAATCAATACTGCAAAACTGCCTTAGCAGGATTAGCAGCTACACTCTACTTCCCACTCTTCCCAGCCCCCAGCTTGTTCCTGCTTTTCTTTTGCCACCCAGCCTGCCAAAGCTGCAGGTTTCTTTTTCTGAAACATATATTTCTTCGGAAAAAGTAGATATAAAGGGAGAAAATAATTTTCTTTATCCTTTAATCCTTTATTCTCTTTGCTTTTAAAAGTTTATTTGCTTCCTACAGTTGGCCATCTTGAGCTTCTGCTTCTCTGCTGTGTCAAGACTTGCTTAAGCTTGAAGGTTTTTTAGGCTTGACCAAGCATTGACAGCGCTATCACAGGAGCTAATGCTAGAGACTGCCAGTTTGATGGATTAAGTAAACTTATTGAAATCTTTTTTCTTTAATACTAAAAGATGCCAAGGGCTGTTTCTGTTCTTGTACTTTGTGTGAAACACCCACTGACATTAATGGAAGTCCCATGTGTAGAACTAGAGTAGAACATAGATCTTAATATTTAAAAGGCTTGTCAACGATGTGCATGAAGTAATCTGGACGTGTGTTGTGATGCTGCTTTTCTCCGCAAAGGCCATTCTCCTTGCAGATTCTCTGCCTTTTAAAGGCACTTGCATGAACAGGAGGGCTGATAGCACCAGATTTACATAACTTTTTCCCCTTTCTAAAAATATTTTAAAACAGGCAGCTCCCTTTAGATGTCATCTGTCTGTTTTGCTTGGTCAACAAAATATACTTGATGTCTTTCAATATGGTTCAAAAACAGTCTTGTTTCCTGATTTTGCCAAGTTGTTAGTCTTACAATGAAGAAGAGGAAAGGAAATCTTAACAGAGAAGCCATTTCCAGTGACCTATACATTCTTTTTAGTGTTTGTAAAAATGCCTAGTCTTTCAATCTCTGTTTGTTCTTGAGTAACTTGCTCTAATGCAGTGGTGGTATGTAAGGTAGCTAAGGAAACTAAAAAGAGTTCACCACCAGTCTCATTCCTATTTCAAATGCACACCATGCTTATTTTGTTAGAACTAGGACTGCAGCTCAGTAGGGTCACCAGATTGTTACAGATGGCCTTGGTAGCTTAAAGCTTTCTGCTTACAGAGACACCTGAAATGATGGTTTCTTTGTCTTCCCATAAAGACTGTCTCTCAGCAGCATCTTGCTCTTCCTCAGTCATAGCTCTTGAAATTCATATTTACCTGGGAGTGACTGCTTGTGCTCACAAAGGTTTTCGGTGGCTTTTTGGCAGGGAGAGTAGAGCTGGTGACATAATTGCAAGCATTTTCTGAAGATTTTGTTCATAATTCTAGAAGACTAGGGAAGAAATGGAGATAGGGAAAGAAGGAACTATGTAACTCCTTCTGTGTTTTGAAGATAATTTGGATAATCGACTGAACAAGACAAAGATGGTGACTTCCAATATAAAATACTTATGAATATGGTATTCATTTACCATCATATTAGACTTTCACAAATGTGACTAGCATGTTTGCTTATTAGGAAGAATTATGGAAGCTCTGACAGTATTTTTATTAAAATAAGAATGTTACTTATTGTGAAAAAAACTTAAGGATGATGTCCAAATCTGTATACAGGATACAATAAAATTGCTTCTACTTGTGTCAGTGGTGTGGAACATGACCTAGATGTTCACCTGCAGTCCACACAAGATCTGAGCATGTTTATGTAGAAGTCTACTGAAATTTATATTAATTGCTGTTGTGCTTTACAGTTCTGTGGTCTGCTTTGCAAAAATGCACTGGCATCTATAGTTCCAAGGGATTTTTAAAGGTGCTTTGCCAGAAGATCTGCTTCCTGTGCTATTTCTTAAATTTTGACATTTCTGTTATTTCGAAACTAGATCACCTGTGTAAGCAACTGAGAGAAGGGTGCAGTGCATCCACTTAGAAGTGGTGTATGTTTCTGAAAGCATATATGGGCTTCATTATTATGACATTTTCTTGGTATGTTTACTGGTTTACTGTGCTAATAGTTAGTTAACCAATCCTGAGGGTGACCACAGAAGACAGATGATATAAACAAGTTACAGCAGTATTAGCATTTCCATCAGTTTCTGGCAGCGTGGAATTGCCAGAAACTGATGGAATCCTAAGTCTTCTTCACCTTAAAATTGTTCTTCACATTTACAGAAATTACTGCAGTGTTTCAGGGTGACAGTAACACTGCAGTGGAAACTGTTTGGTAATTTTAATTTTTTCTTTATTATGAATAAAAGAATGGAAGGCTTACTAGGTAATCCAAAGCAGACTTTGTTCTGCAGATTTCAAGATGTTCATTTGCAAAATGTATAATGAAAGAACATGGAAGTGACATTTCTCCATCCTTACTCTGCTTCATTGTATTCATTGCTGAAAATAGTTGTCTTCAAGACAGGTGCTCTCTTTTCCTCTGTACTTCCTTCTGTACCCTCCTAAACACATTTTAGCTGTGTGAGGCTTACTTTTTTCATCTGTTGCCATTTTTTGTTCCCCCAAGCAGCATTTTTAGTTTTTTCTTTTATTAGATAAGGCACAGGAAACTTGAAGCCCAACAAAACAAGCTGTATTTTCTTTACTAGTCTTTATGTAGGTAAATTGGTTCTTTCTATTGTTCTTTTGTTCCCTTGCTACTGTCCAATGGGGAAGAAAAATATTAAAAATTCACAAAATCAGAGGGGCTAAGGCTGGAAGGGGCCTTTGGAGGCCATCTAGTCCATACCTCCTGCTCAAGGAGGACCACAAAGACCTGGTTGCCTAGGACCATAACCAAATGGCTATTTAATATCTCCAAGGAAACAGGTTGCACAGCTTTTTTGGGCAATCTGTGCTAGTGCTTGGTCATTGAAAAAATATTTCCTGATGTTCAGACAGAACCTCCTGTGTTTCAGTGCATGGTCATTGCCCAGTCACTGGATCCTACTGAAAAGAGCCTAGGTTTGCCTTCATTGCTGCAAGGACACATTGCTTGCTCACATTCAACTTGGTGTCCATGTGTCCATCAGAATACCAGGTCCTTTTCTGCCAATTTACTTTCCAGATGACTGTCCAACAGCAAATAGTCATTCACAGAATTGTTACTTCCCAGGTGCAAGATTTTGCACTTCTTGTTGAGCTTCACGAGTCAGCCCATCTCTCCATCCTGTCAAGATCCCTCTGTATAACTGTTTTTCTACCAGGCAGAAAAAGAACCATAGAATAAGTTCATTTTCAAAGCCATTTTTATTATATTTTTTAATCTTCTCAGAAAAAGCTTTACTCTGTGATAAGCTGTGTTTATTTGTGAAATCAGGTGAAATTTTTTGGTAGTAAGAGGAGAAGTTAGTTTCAGCCTTTTCTACAGGGTCACTCCGTAATTTAATTTGAAAATTCACCATATCTAGTTGTATGAGAGTAATGTTCCTTTGAATAGAAATGAAAATTTTAGCTTGTGACATAGAAGAGCTCCTTTTTCAAATTTTCTAGGAGTAGGTTATACAATTATATTCTGGAATTTTTCACTTGCTGCACATTTTGCAGATATGTTTGCATATAACATTCATATAAGGGTTCAGAAAGTATAATTCAATTAATGAATCTCTTTAACATAATTTGTTTGGGACAATGAGTGAAAAAATGCTACTTTAAAATGTAGTTGAAAGAAGCTTTTCTGTATTCTAAAAAGCACATCTTAAAACACACAGGGTAAGATTGATTTTATTGTGTTGCATCACTTGTGTAATTTCTTCTGGGCATTTGATCATATAAAAAAAGCCTGACTCTCTCATGCAAGGTTTCCATGGGCCTCTCCTTGATGAAAGCCCATCTGGATTTCCTGGATGGGGTCTCCTCTCTTCGAAAACACCGAGAATTTTATATTTTGGTGGATGAAGGATTCGGTCCATTGTGCAAATTACAAACATTGGTACTTGAAGATGTGTATGTCCTTTGGTATTTAGGCACTTTAGCCAATATCTCTAAACAGAGGTCCATACT